CTAATCTGTGCTGAAAACTTCAGCTATGGTATATTGACAAATGTATCATTTTCTGTGAGTTTGTCATAGGTTTGTGACTCCAGAAGATGTGTCCATTGTTTTTGGTCTAGTGTTCCCAAGAGTATGTTTATAGGATTGTTTTTGGGGTTTAGTTGTAATTCTGATTTTGGAGCATCCAGTTTTTGATGTGTGGTGACTAGAAGTGTACACAGTATTAATTTGTCTTCTGTCTTAGGGCAGACAGTATGAGGAAATTGATGTTTCCTTAATAAAATTAAAGATAAATTTTGTAATTTTCTGTAATTATGCAATGGATAAATGGCAGATTAAACTACAAATCCCCCTCAGCAGGCCACCCTTTATTTGTTAGTTTACCTCAACAGGCACTTTCTGTCTCAATATGTTCAATCAGTGACGAGTAATGAGAAAGAATAAAATGTTTCTGTTTACTCACAGTTTTTCACAGATAAAAACATAATGTAAAAATGTTAACTTACATCACTAAGCTTAACTGGCTAATTAGCTTTGTTACTGACTAACTGACTGGTTGCATAGCTGACAGAATGTTTCACTGCTAACACTGACAAAACCCAGACTGGAAAAAGGCAGGGAGAAAGAGTGTGAGATAGAGAGGGAACTTTTATTGGCTATTACTGGATTGACTGACATTCACTGCAGCTCCTTCCCAGCCAAAGCCTCTGAAAGGTGTCATTTGCAGGTTGTAATGTTCCAACATTCTCTTGGGAGAATATTTTCTTTTACAATTGTCAAGACTAGTGTTTTAGTGCAGGCATTGTTTGTTTGTTTGTTTGTTTCATTCATTTTAGTTTATTATTAAATAGGATGATACCCAACAAATTTTTAAACAGTATTTTTGTTCTTTACTCCAGAACTGGTTAAACTTAACATAAATACATATGCCAAATTAATAGAGTTTGGAGTGGAATTATATTGCTGAAATCAGAAAGGGTTATAAATTTGCACACTTTTTTTGGTTTGTTCATTTTTAGTAAAACTGATGGTAGTGTAATGTTTGGACTAATTTCAATAGCCTTTAAATCTTTCGGTTCTCTGGTGTATTCCTTGACTTGGTTGATGAAACATATTTTGAGGCAACAGCAATGTCTTGAAGAAATAATTTTGTTTTTGTTTTACTCAGAGTTCAGAGCTAGTGGTTTTGACCATTTCAAGGCACAGAACATCAAATGTCACATTGGTGGTTTTCGTACAGACTCATGTTGGTGCTTCTGAAGTGGAAGGATGCACAGGGGCTATTGTTGTCCAGGGGACCCCCTAACGTGGTCTGGTTCTTCAGAGAGGTGCTTGGTATGTGAAGAATCCAGGCACATTTCTCTTCTTTCAGTATCTGCTATCAACACTGGGATTTCTGCTAATGTGACTTGCTTATGAGAAGCTTGATCTTTCCTTTAATTGGCATTTAGTTTTTCATCTTAATGAGAAAGAATCTTATACAGTAGGACCCCCATATCTGCGGTTTGATTCCAAGCCCCCCTCCCCCGATACTGAAAACCATGGATAATAGCAAATACTATGTGTTTCCCCAAAAACAAGACAGGGTCTTCTATTAATTTTTGCTCTCAAATGCATTGGGACTTATTTGCAACAATTTACATTTGTTCAGGTAATCATGTCATTTTCTTCTGGTTGCTGCATAATGGTGGAGGGCGGGGTTTCACTTAACTGGGGCTTATTTTGGGGGTAGGGCTTATATTATAAGCATCCTGAAAAATCACACTAGGGCTTATTTTTAGGTTAGGTCTTATATTTGGAGAAACAGGGTAACAGGGCAAAAGAAAAAAAGAAAAGAAATCCAGAAATATGTATTTTCACTTATATTACCAGAACGTGCCACTAGAGGGAGCCAGAAATATAGTCTTCAACAAGACTACATGGCCTCTGGCTCCCTCTAGAGGACAGTTCTGGTAAATACATTGTCAAATACGTGCAGTATTTCTAGTTTTTTTTCTTTAATATTTTCAGACTGTGGATAAATGAAAATGGCAGACTCTGATCCCATGAATATGGGGCTCTTGTATATACTCTTTCTAGTTTTTTCATTGGCCCGAGGAGGCCAGAGATCAGGTCTACCTGCCAAATCTCATCTGCCTGCTTTTCACAGTGGAACCCTGGCTATCTAAACTTCTTTTAACCCCTTTCACGTCAGAGCCCCATCTGTCCATGTAACTGTCGTCTCTGCAGCCTTCTATTTCTCTCCCTTTTGTCTGTGTGATGGCTTCTCTCTGTGGTGATGATACATGGGAGATGTGTCCCTAGGAGGCAGTTTATTCCTTTGAATGTCTCAGTGTCTTCCATTTGTGGCCTGAAGTGATCACTTCTGTCTGTCTAGCATGTAACACAGGTTGCAACTCCGGTTTTGGAAGCCATACTTCAGCTGGGTGGAATACGTTTTTCTATGTAAAATTGGTTAAAACTATTATTTCTATTAAAGGTGGGTTGATTGGGCTGCCCTTTTGTTTGGAGTGAAGGTCACGTGAACTTTAAATTTAAGTTTTACTGGGCAATCTTTAATGGCAAGACAAAAACTAAATAGCAGATGCACCTTTTTTATTTTTCAGTGCTGCTGTTCTGATTTACAGCTGTACCAGAATGGAACAAAAGAGAAAGAAAAGGGTGGGAAGGGGGGAGAGATGGTATTCCAGTTCACCGGTGGCTGGAATGCTAAGGCTGATGTCCTCAGATTTCTGACCCTTCCCCACAAGGTCTCAAGTCCCCTTTGAATCACTTTCATCATGGGGGAAGCCATTGGGGGATGCAGGCTAAGGAGAGGAGACTTGAATTTCTGGAAATTATCACTACCTTCCACTCCACAAACAGGATTTCAGTTGGGGGATGGTAACCCTGGTTTATGAGATAAGGCTTCTTGTCAGAGATGGAACTATGCCTTGGACTCTACTTATAGATCTAGTCACCACACTTCGAAAAGGATATCACAAAACATTTGTACTACTTAGAGGAACGTAACCTGAATTAAGAAGGGCCTTGAACAGTGTTTGCATGAAGAAAGGTTACTTTACCTGGGAATGCTTAACTTGTGGAAGGGGGGGAGCATGAATAAGGGAAAGCATGTTTTTGGTTGTGTGGTGTTAAGTCATTTCCAAATAGGGAAGCCTATGAATTAATAACCTTTAAAACTTCCTATGCTCTGCTGTTGTGTGGTGTTAAGCCATTTCCAAATAGAGAAGCCTATGAATTACTGTAATAACCTTTAAAACTTCCTATGCTCTGCTCATATCTTGCATAGCTTCATTTGTTGAGTCAGTTCATCTCATGTTAGGCCATTCTTCAACTTTTTGTAGCATTATTGATTTCTCCAGTGAGTCTTGCCTAATCTTCATAGGTTCAAAAGGATTAGGAACTAGAGGAAGGAGGTTAAAGAGGTGCTTTTCTCACTATCTACATCATACTAGAATTTGGAGTCATGCACTAAAGCTGAATGTTGGGTGATTCAGGGTGAATCAAAGGAAGCATTTTCTTCCCGCAATGCGGTTAGACTCTAGAATTCGCTGCTACGAGATGCAGGAAGGGCTATCAACTGGATAACTTCAGAAACAGATCAGACGATTTAATGGTGATATGATTTCCAATGCCTACTAATCATGATGGCTACATACAGTACTACTTCAGTATCAACTGTAATAATGTTACTCAGTAAGAGAAGTAAGTATGCTTCCCAATATTGGATATAGGATGTACCAGTGTGGTGACATTCTTTCTCACCTGTCCTGCTTGCAGTCTTGCTAGAGGCAAGTATGTGGCCATCATGGGAACAAAATGCTGGGATAAAGAGAGACCTTTTGCCTATCCAGTAGGGCTCTTATTATGCTTGGTCATGTCAAAACTGAGTTGTGCATTCCAAAATGGCACCTGTATTGCAGTATACAGTGGCCAGTATGCTGTTGCCTTAAAAAGGGGTAAAAGAGCAATTATGCAAGTATTTTCCTGGCTCTGGAAGGCTGCCTGTCTCCTGGCTGTTCTCTCACTGGATTCAAGATCAATTATGCACTGGTCATGGGAGGAGGAGACAGTTGGGCAATTGCTTACACGCTTGCCCTTCCACTCCCTATTTAAGGAACCGACTGATATATTTTGCTGATATGCAAGTTAATCTATGCTGTTAATCATGTGGCAGCACTGATGGCTAAAACATAATAAACACTTAGAATTACATGCAAACTGTTTATCAGCATCCATTTTTGTGGTTGCAGGGTTAAGCTTTAAAAAGAGAAGTCTTTCCTGTGACAATTTGACTCCAGGAGTCAGGACTGTAAAAAATGCTTCCTCATTGCATTTGTGTCTTTCCACAGAAAACCTTATTTTACTGTATCTTTATTTTTCTAAAGCAGACCTTTAAAAGGGAACAGTCATACTGTCTTTCAGAAGGTTTGGAAAGTATTTATTATGCGTTCTTATAAAGCATGGTCATTTAAAAACAAGCCTTGCATTTAGAGTTTGGCAGGGGTGTGCTTGGGTAAAAAGCAAGGCAAAAGGTGCTACTTCTATACTGCCCCATAGCATTTAATCCCTCTCTGGGTGATTTAAAAGTTAATTATGCAGGCTACACATTGCCCCCCCCTTACTATTTTTACTGACCTCTGAAAGACAGAAGGCTGAGTCAGCCTTGAGCCGGATACCTGGGATTAAACCTCGATCATGAGCTCAGTTTTGGCTGCAGTACAGCTGTTTAACCACTATGCCAGGAGGCTCCTCCTGGGTAAAAATGCATTCAGAAATGCATGAAATTGTGGACCTATACTACCAATATCCTTGATGCCTTTGAAAATGCATTCCTGCTTTTTCAATTTGGGGGCATAAATTAGTTGTATGCAGTGCTTTTAATTACACATTGTTCAGGTGCAGCAGATCCTCGCTATTATAAGTACTGTGACTGTGTCTTTTTGTGTAGAAGAAGCTTGCATGACAGTAGTACTCAGAGATGCCTGCATTTCTTTTTGTTGTAGACCTCCAGTGTACCAGTTCTCTGATAAGGCACATTCTAAAACCTTCCTCTCCACCTTGGTTTCAAAAGTCAAACACATGAATAACAAATGGGAAAGATATTTGGAAAGAACATTCCCACGCTTCCATCAGCTATATTCAACTTTTAAAAAAGGTGGGTTTTCACTTGGAGAAATAAGGGCAGATCATAATATCCCTTCATGCATTTCATGGATGTACTAATCAAGCAACACTGTAAGAACGAAGTTCATATATAGAGTGGGAATAATATCTTCATTATTAGCTCAACTGCCTTAACATCTGGGTTGTGTCTCATAGAAGGGCAGTTGCAATTAACGGCTGCATTACAGCGAAACCTATGGAATAGGTTCTTACCATAATAACTGAGGATGTAGATACAGTAGTTCAGACATAATGTGAAAAAGTATTTTGTAAACTGTGATGCTTTGAGTTGACATCGGTGGACTTGCATATGTGTTTGATGCTGTGCCTGCACAAAGACATCTGGAAACATTGAGAGCTGAGCAACCCATTTTGGCTGGAACTGTGCTCCCATGCTAAGATACATAGTACAGTATATACATTAGGCTTCCAGATTTCCTCTCCATTCCAGTCTGCTACAGAAAAGGACTCCCCTGAGCACACCAGATCCTTCTAGATTGAGGAGGGAGAGTTGTGTGAGTGCACCTATGAGAGCCCACTTATGGTAAACAGCTTGTTCTTCATGATCTCTGTGCCTCCGCAAGGTGGATGATGAGTAAGCTGTGGCTTACTGTAGGGTGGGAGGAGAGGGTCATAAGACTGGCAACCAAAAACACAGACTCTGTCCAAAGACTCCATGATTCCGTGCTGTTATGTCCAGTTACTAATACCTGATGAAAGTTGAAAACTGAGAATGAGTGGCAGCCATACAGAATTTATTTGAAATGGAACACCTCTAAGGTAAACAGTGAGGGAGATGATGGCTCTCAAGTGAGGTTGAGCTTGTTCTGACACCAGTCTAGAAGCAAGCTGGCCAACTGAGACCATTGTGGAGCTTACCCACATTGAAGGTCACTGTGTATGAATGGGTGCCCTTGATGGGCTAGGAGCAGCATACAAAGCCATATCTGAATTACAGAGAGAGAGAGAGAGAGTATAGTAAGCAGTGACATTTTCCATGAAGGCAATGTCCTTTCTGCCTTCAAGCTTTTCTTACACTTTCTCCAGAACTAACTCAGGTTAATTATCTGGTACCTAAGTGAGACAGAATATAGCAGAGAGCACAAACTGTGGGAAGCAGACCCTGCAGTTCATGAGGCCAGAGGAGAGACCCATCACTACCACCTGATGATCACAGTCCTGTGGAGAGAATTTAGAAGGATCCTCACTGGATACGTTCTTCCTGTCGTGCTTTAGTAGGGAGAGGGGGGCACACTTCCTCAAGGCTGAAGCTTCGGCCGGTGCTGTTGTTTTCTAGAGGTCACCTAGGGAAGCTCCCAACAAGCCGTGATGCCAGGAAGGCCTGCATTTCAGCTGACTCGGATGTGGGTGAAGGTTGTTCCAAAACCAGTGGTTGAGGAGAAGGCTGATACTGATGGGAACAGATTGCTGTAAAGGCCATATGAAGAGGCCAGATTCATGTAATCTGTATGTGCCACTGTAAGAGAGATTTTGGCTGGCACCTTCTCCACAGCACGTTACAGTTCCAAGCAGAAAAAGCAGCTGTTGGTGTGTGGGATTTTGGCCTAGCACTCCACACATATTTGAAAGAAGGCCTTCTTCTCCACAGCACGTTACAGTTCCAGGCAGAAAAAGCAGCACTCCACACATATTTGAAAGAAGGCCTTTTTTGGTCCTAGGACTATTCTGGATCCCCAGCAGCAGAACATTTTGCCAGATGAAGCCAGCAGGTGGAGATAAAGGCGATAGGCAAAGATGGACGATTAACAAAGACAAAAGAAATGGAATCAAAGAAAGGAAGCCACATGCAGTAGAATGCATTGTTCAAGGAGAGATTTTTCTCAACCTGGTGCCAATGTGGTAGGTAAAATGAATTAGGAGCAAAGGTGAGAACCCAGTGTAGACACGTGCATCAACGTAGGGCTGGAGGTTTCTAGCAAAACATGCTACTTGGTGCTACAAGTCTCTTGACATCTCTGCGCAAGAACAGGCCAAATGACTGAGGCACAGAGACCATGAAGAAGAGATGCTCTCTGATAACTGGAAAGATGACTGTTTTGGAAAAGAATTTACCATAGGATTGGGAGTTAATAAATAACCCAGCTTGAGATCTGAGGGGAAAACATGTTTTTTTAAAAAATATTGTTATTATTGTTATGATTATTATGATTATGATTATTATTGTTGTTGTTGTTATTTTGTACAGGGGCCCGGATATTCATTTCAGAAGCGAGAGAAATAAGAAAAATACAAGCAAACATGTCACATAAAAATATTCAGTTTCATCAGCTTCCATACAGGGAGATGGAGAGACTAAGACAAGTAAGTTTTTATTCAATAATTTTTGGTTTCTTTACTGAACTCTTGAGGCTCTGTAGCCAAGCTCAGTGTGCTCTGCTGTGAAGATGACTGATTATTCTAGGCAGTCTGAATATAATGGCCAGCTTTCCTACATAAGGAAAGCCACCCTCTATGTTTGTCTTGCAACAGTTCCTCAATGGACAGTCTAACCAACCAAATGTTCAACTGAGGACATGCGCCTGCACTTGGAAGGATATGTGTTCCTGCTTCATAGGATGTTGATTAAATGCATTTGGTTGTGTTCTGGAAGGTCATCTGCTTCTTGGTTTACAATCTTAGGCTGTGTATCCTTTTGCACTTGAGTTAAGACTGCTGTAGGTGCAACTGGTTTCAAGGGCCCAGATAGTTGTTTCAGTCCCACCGAGGGGTCGCCTGAAGTCTTTTGCCAGGGGTGCAGTCACTCTAATTGAAATATCTGTAGGCAAAACCTCAAGTAATAAATAAATAACAATTCAGGAAGCAGTATTGTTTCTTCTCCATTAAAGAAAGGTCATAGCCCTTCCGAAAAAATGGGTCTTCCTTAAGATTACACATGAGAGTCAGTTTTCCTTGTTCATACATAGGAGTGAAGGTCATGCACTGGAATGAATGGTAATGCCACCACCCAGGCATCTCCTTACGTGAAGTTGCTTTTGTCTTGTTTAATGTTCAGTGATGCGTTTGATCATGGACAGTTCAGATTTGACCAGTAGTAACTCAACAGTTTTAATACTAATATCTCAACAATAGCCATGTAAACTGTGAAGTAGATGAGGTCAAAATCATCACTGTGATGTTCTGTAAGTAGAAGAAAAATGTGTCCAGCTTTACATCTGGCAGATTTTAGTAATTCCTCCGGGCCAAGAGCTGTTTGGCCCACACACGATTTATTAGAGAGAGTAGCCCTGATAGGTGCCTATGCTCTTGTTGAGTTGAGCTAGCATGTAGGACACATAAGAGGAGGACGAAACGCTCACACACAAAAAAAAAAGTACAGTTGGCTTTTGGACATGGTTTGCCAGCCCGTTTGGTGGAATATTTTCCCCAGCCCAGTTTTATTTGAACTTGCTAACCAAAAGGCTGTGGGCACTCTGAGGCTGCCTGATTTTAAATCAGATGCATCAGAGGATCACTGGTGTCATTATTGCCAGTCCAAATGATAGGCTGCCTAAATAAATAAACAAATAGTCCCTCCCCAAAAAAGGCAGTGCTACCCTTGAAGAAATAGTCATTGTTGAATGAAAATGTCATCCTGCTGTGACAAGAGTGCTGTCTTACACAAAACAGTTGAATTGCTGGATAGCTTAGTGCCAGATAGCTCAGTCTGCAGAGACAGAAGTTGGGAGTTAAATTCCCCACTTGGCCTCTTTGACAGGGGCTGAACTGGATGATCCATAGGATCCCTTCCAACTCTGCATTTCTAAAATGATGATGATATTTCCAGTCAAATTCTTTTATATTCACACTACAGAAATCAGAATGCAGTTACTGTTCAGTCTACACTAGAGAGAGAGAGAGAGAGAGAGTGACAGGGGCTGAACTGGATGATCCATAGGATCCCTTCCAACTCTGCATTTCTAAAATGATGATGATATTTCCAGCCAAATTCTTTTATATTCACACTACACAAATCAGAATGCAGTTACTGTTCAATCTACACTAGAGAGAGAGAGAGAGAGAGAAAGAAGGTTATTCATGTGTTTGGTTACCATTGTGTGTCCCAGAGATAATTCTGAAGTGTGATCTAAAATTGGATTTAATTTTATATATATATATATTTGTATACCGAGGGATATGAATATGAAGCTCAGCATCATAGGTGCCATAGTGGTCCATTCCTGCCCCCCAGAACCAGCCCACTCATTGGGCTCCTCACAGCATGTACGTACATCTGTTGGCAGTGACATTGCACCAATTGCGGAAGTAATCTTACTGGTGCTGCCTTGCCTCTCCCTACAGCTGACCAGTCTGGCAAGGAGGCGGGAAGACGAGTCTCCCTGCTCAGCTGCTGAGTGGTTGGCTGAGGGGGAGAGGCAGGGCAGCACCGGCGGAACCAGTTCTTGCAGTGGGCGTGATGTCACTGCCAGCAGACGCATGTACTGTGAGGAGCCCAGTAAGTGGACCGGGCTGGTTCTGGGGGGCAGGAATGGACCACTATGGCACCTGTGGTGTCAAGATTCATATTCGTATCCGCTGGGATACAAATATGAAGCTTTAGACCTAATGCTTTATTAAGCTCTTTTCCTTTCCTTTTTCCCTTTTCCCTTCCTTTCTTCCTTTCTTATAGTTTCGCAGAGACCTGATCAAGGCAATTCCGGTTGGGATTCTTGCTCTTCCACCATTTGCCAACTATTTGGTTCTTTTACTCATGTAAGTACATCCTTGTGCCTAGTCGAGTGAAGGTTCCTTGAGTTATACGTACTGTGTAGAAAAAAAACATCTGACTGGTAACCTTTGTAATATCCATCAGTATGAACAGGGCTTTCATCTCTTTCTTTCTCTTCACTTACACACAGTTCCTGGCTCTTCTGGTGGGGGGGTTGTTGCAGTACAATTGTTTGCTTAGCAGCTGTAACAATTAAGACTAAAGAAGGCATATTTTAGGAATTGGGGGAAAAACGTCCAAATGATATAATTCTATGTTCTTTTATAATTTTGATGCCTAAACTATAAAAAATCGCCTGCTGTTCCCAGCAACAATCCACATGATCATATGTCCATTCCAACCTTTTCCCTGCAAATTTTCTCTGCTCTTTTCCCAGAGGAACTTTCAAGCTGTTTTAAAATCTGCCAGGAGATAAAATAGGAAAAAAATTGGGGTGTTGTGGGAGCGTTGCTCAAGGGGGTCCTTATCAGTGCTGCCTTGTGCATTCGTCCAGCAGCTTATGCCTCTCTTCCCCATCTATTACAAATCTGTTCCAGCAGCTTGAGAATTCAAAGTTGATAAGGCATAAACGAACATTTCTTTGGTGCTTGCTTTTATCAGCCGTCGCATGACACACACGCTTAACAATAGCTAAAATCTTTTGGTGCAAATGACTCAACTTCTAGAGACAAATTACTGTAGGTTTAGAAATCTCTGTGGACCTTACCTGCTGCATGCTGAGTCTCATGATTCAGCATGCAACTGATAATCTGTGAAGATTTTTTAATTTATGGCAACTTGCTTATGGAAGTTACGCCACTTGCGTAACTGTGCAACAGGATTTCAGCCAATATTTTAATGCAGACATTGAGAGACAGATTTAGTATATTGTAATTGAAAAAAGAACACTGATTGCTAAAAGATTTTGCTGCTTGGTACATAAAGTTCACAATAAGAAACCTTGCTCAGATGAGTCGCACAATTGTGCCCAGGATAAGAGTTAATTTTAACTGTATAGATGAGTTTCAGTTACAGATAGAATAGATCTTGAAGGTAAATAATTTCTAGATGATCCAAGTTTGACTTTATCCACTCCTTCAGTTATTATGACTTAGAGCTAAATTAGATGATAATGTTAATCGTGAGTTCAACTAACAAGCAACTGGCAGAGAGCAGCAATGACCTGAAATGATTTCTGATGAAAGGGAAAGAACAAAATGCCACAGGAGGACTGCACCTGAACTTTAAGAAGACAAAAATCATGGCTACAGAAGAGCTAAATAATTTTAATGTTTAAAATGAAGAATTCAAAATTGTTAAAGATTTTCTGTATCTTGGTTCACTCCTCAATCTAAACGGAGAGTGCTCCCAAGAAATCCGAAGAAAACTGAGACTTGGAAGAGCAGGAACTAGAAAAGATCCTCAAATGCAGAGATGTGTCCCTGGAGACCAAGGTGAAGTTCATCTACCCTATAGTATTCCCAGTTACTCTGATCAAATGTGAAAGCTGGACAGTCTGGAGTTGGAGATAAATAACACAGACCACAAGAAAGATCAATAAGTAGGTTCTATTTCACATCAAGCCTGAACTCTGCCTAGAATAGTAAAGGTAAAGGTTCCCCTTGACATTTTTAGTCCAGTCGTGTCCGACTCTAGGGCGCAGTGCTCATCTCACTTTTCAAGCCATAGAGACAGCACTTGTCCGAAGACGAGTTTCCGCTGTCACATGGCCAGCATGACTAGGGAACGCTGTTTTACCTTCCCACTGAGATAGTACCTATTTATCTACTCACATTTACATGCTTTTGAACTGCTAAGTTGGCAAGGAGCTGGGGCAAAGCGACGGGAGTTCATTCCGTCGCGAGGATTCGATCTTACGACTTCTGGTCTTCAGACCCTGCAGCACAGGCTTCTGCGGTTTAGCCCGCAGCGCTACCACATCCCTATCCCTAGAATACAGGGGGACAATTAAATAAAATCGCCAGTGTACTTGTGCAGAATCACAGCTCCCATGCAGCAGCCACAGACAGCTGTGGTCAATGGACAGCAGTCTGGACTTGAAGCCCAATCTAGATTTCAGGCACCTGTAGCAGATCAGCTCAGTATCCACCCAAAATAAGTTAGATGTTTAAATTTTGTGAAAGATAGAGGTGACACAAAGTTCATCCATAGTGGACTGTTAAAAGTGAAAGAGTAAAATATTCTGTTAGACTCTACACTTGTGACACTGTTTTAGGACGCTGGTGAGTATTAATAAATAATCATGTGTTGTCAAGTTGATTCCAACTTATGGTGACTTTTCCATGGTTTCCATGCATAAAGCATTAAGAACACGGCCAAACAGCCCAAAAAAACTTACAACAACCACTCTAAGGCAGTTTGCCATTCTATTCTTCTGGGACTGCGCAGCTTGCCCAAAGCTTTACAGGCTGTCTCTTCTCTCAGGAGGCACAGTGGAGAATCCAGCTCTCAGCCTCTTGCCCAGCAGATATATACTTAAACCATTGAGCTATCCAGGTAGCTGGCACGGGTAAAACCACTCTTTAGGCATCTCACATACAGTACCTTGAAAAATCCTGTGAGTCACCATAAGTCAGAAGCGACTTGATGGCCCATTCCAGCAATGGTGCGCAATCCTTGCGCAATCCAGCTTTAAGTGGCTCCTCCCTGCTGCAAACCCAAGCACCCAAAAATTCTGCTCCGGGGGCTCTAAAAAACCTCTGGAGCACTAGAGAGGGGTGCAGTGAAAAGCCCAACATGGTTATGGATGTCAGATTGGAGTGAGGCTTTCTAAAACTGCTCCAGCTAATTTAAATGTTTGTGGGGAAGGTCTGGAAAAAATTCTGAGCATATAGGCAAAGGCTGGTTTCTCAAAGGAAGGCTCAACAGGATGTTTTAGCTTTCTGGACCTGAAGTTTCAGTCACTGCCTAGGTGGTTCCTCCTCCCTTAGCCTGACAGAAGCTTCCTGAATAGTGTAAAGTACGAGAGAAGGACATGATGGGTAGAAATAACAAGAGCCAGTTTCTTGGTATGAAATGGGGGTGTCTCAGGCCCAGATTTGGATGTCCCATAGTAGTGTATTGTACACCTTCGTCCCTTTGTGTTCATCTTGCTATTTCTCTCTGGAAGTGTGTGCCTTCTTCAGAACAGTCTCTCCTTTCCCAAGGTATTTTTTCCCAAGGCAACTCTTGATACGGCACTTTTGGACTCCCAAACAGCAAGCTGAATTCCTGGACACCTACCACAACATGAGGAGGGAGGCATACCCTGAAGTGCTTGATGGGCTGAGGAGTCTTTCCCATTGCATCGCTGATCCACAGCTTCGCAAACAGATGCTAGATCTCTGCAAAAAGGTACGCCATGTCTAGGGAGTCCCTGTTGATAGAGAGACTGTTCTGTGGGGTTTTCACAAATAGGTTTCATTCTTCAGGAGGGTCTCAGTATACTTATCTTATTTCAAGTTCTTCTTTTCCTGATGGCCTATTCCTATTAGTGGTTGGAGCCTCATGGCACAGTGGTTATACTGCGGTACTGCAGCCAAAACTCTGCTTACAAACCAAGTTCAGTCCCAGGTAGCCATCTCAATTTTTACTCAGCTTTCCGAGTTCAGTAAATTGAGTACTCAGCTCATAGGGGTTGAGGCAATGGGTAACCTTCATAATTAAATTCTAAATCCCCAAAGAGTGCTTTAAGTGCTAAGGGACTATATATAATCTGCACTCTTTGTCTTTGCTTTGTCAGTTCAGCAACAGAGAATTATTGTAAATCTCTAAAAATTATCATGAAATCCTTTTGGAAAGATGTCATAGGTTTTAAAAACTGCTGTTATGCAAAACCTTAATTTAACACCTGTACGAGAGTCCAAGTTATACATCATCCTTCCTCATTTTTCATTTTTGACATGAACATACTGGCCACTCAGTGTGCACCCTTGAAGAGTGCCTCACAGTTTTAAACAATGGATTATTATTATAATAGACCTGATACAAAAGGGACCAAATACTAGACACAAATAAATAAATTTAAGTGTTTTTGGCTTTGTGAGAGATAGTTCTTGGAAAGGAGGAGCTAGATGGCGAACAGTCCTAGCCAGATGGATGGAAGATGTTTTCTGGTTATAGCTTTGCCTCTGGTGCAGTAAATGGTGAAGTTAGTTAGGTATTTGGCGTTCAGTTCCCCACTATGCTTTGTAAAAATTAAAAAAAAACAGTCTGTGTGGCCTTGGGCAAGCTGCACAACACCAGCAAGCTAGAAGAAGCGAACCGTTAACCACTTCTGAATCGTCTATACCAGTGGTCCCCAACCTTGGACCTCCAGATGTTCTTGGACTTCAACTCCCAAAAATCCTGGCCAGCAGAGCTGGAGGTGAAGGCTTCTGGGAGTTGTAGTCCAAGAACATCTGGAGGCCCAAGGTTGGGGACCACTGCTCTATAGCAGCAAATTCTATAAGGGCATGATGAAAATATCAATCCTAGGATTCCACAGAATGGGATCATGACAGTTAAAATGGATTCAAAGTACTATCCCTGAGTGGCATAGATGCACCTTAACTAATTCTGCTTTTTTCTGTTCTTTTCCTTCCTGTTTCCTTGCCATGGCAGTACAGTGTCTTAACATCTAACTGAACTGAAGGACAGGCTTCCGCACTACTGTACTCCATTTTTCTGCAGGGGTGGCATCATTGAAGGGACCGTGTCCCACTTGCCTTCAGGAAGGGTAAACAGCTTCCAAGTACTTTACACCTAAAAAAACAAACGGGCTTCATGACGAAACACTCTGATTCGATAGAAAGCAGTCTCTTGTTCTCTCCTCACATTACTTTTGGAGCACATACAGGATACACACAAACACACATAAAACCCAACCCAAAACAGTAAAGCAAGATAGTAACAAATCTGAATGTGCAAATGTTTCCAGCATGTTTTCTTGCAAGGGAGCTGGGAACTAGTGGCAAATTCAGATTTGCCTCTGCGTAACAGGTAAAGCACCTTACTCCTGCGGAGTGACAAAATATTAGAAGAGATTGATCAAATGTTTGCAAACAGTAATAGCAATTATTATTATGTGCCGTCAAGTTGATTCTGATTTATTGTCACCCTTCCCAGGTGTACCCTGGTATAGTGTACTCAGAAGTAATTTACCACAGTTACTTTCTTCTGAGGGAACTCTGGGGCTGTGCAGCTTGCCCAAGGCTAAAAAAGTTGGCTTTCCTCCCAGGAGGCACAGTGGGGAATCAAACTCACAACCGCTGGCATCACAGCCAGATAACCAGAACATGGTGAGTTTAACCTGGAGATTTAAACCAGTGGTTCTTAACCTTGGGGTTGCTCAGGTGTTTTGGACTGCAACTCCCAGAAGCCTTCAGCACCAGCTGTGCTGGCTGGAGTTTCTGGGAGCTGCAGTTCAAAAACACCTGAGTAACCCAAGGTTAAGAACCACTGGTCTATACCACGAAAACTCTGGAAAGGATCAGATAAGTTGGTATGGACTTGATGGCTTGCAATTGTTATTCACACTGAACCAGAGTGTGTTGTGATTGATGGCCACAACAGTGAGGGACAAGGGATAAGAATACGCTCAGATGTAAGAGACCAGAGCCTGGTCTTACTCGGGTTCTTGCGGGTAATCTCCAGATGAGGTTGTTAACATCCTTTTCTGATTTGGAAGGTGATTTTCTGTCAGTAAGGCTCTTTTCATCTTCAAGGTCCAGGACGGATGCCACCCCAATGTAAGAGAACTTAAAGCTGTGAGGACCTTATTTGTGGGGCATCCCTTTGGCATTCAGCAGCTGAGGGTGCAGCAAGTGGTAAGTTTCATTCAAAGAATTTAAGTGGGGTTGTACCGACCGTCTGGTATCCATTGATGAATCCACCACCACTGACTGCTCCAATTTGAGCTTTTATCGCTGTGGCTTGCTGGAGACATTTGGAAAACCAAAAGTGTCATGTTTCTTCCTAGCTATAAATCTTGGAAGTGCCACAGCTAATATCCTGGCCTTAAATTGGGACTGTATTGCATTTGCTCTCTGTCTGTGCTGCCTGGTTGTATAAGTGATCCACCCACTCACCCCAGATCCCCCTTCATAAAAGGAGGTGCTCACCTTTTTTATTTTTTATTTTTAATACTCAGCTTTGATTTGAATGGCAGGGTGACTCCAAAAGCCTTGCTATGTGCCTCCCATACTGTAAATTCATGTTTCGCTCTCATCCTCAGAAAGTTCTCAGCCGAGTTTTGTTCCTGACCCCTCGATTGCCATCCTTCTTCTTAAGATATCGCTTGCGGACCCACGTGAAAGAGGTTCACCAACTGGACCGAGCCATGCTTAAACTGGGGGTCAGACAGCTGACAGATGAAGAAGCACAAGTGGTGAGATAAAATCTTTACTGTACATGAAAACTTGCCTACATTTATTGTATCTTCTGATACAGAGACTGATAATGCGTGTCTGTGTTTATACCTGGAACTATGCCAAGTGGATATTTTGGGAAAGCTGATAATGTGTCTGATGCAGTTGATGTATCTTGAGACTAAATAATGCTAGGAGTGGCAAATAAATTTAGCATACAGATACTATTCCAAAGGTGGTGGCGCGGTGGGTTAAACCGCAGAAGCCTCTATGCTGCAAGGTCGGAAGACCAGCAGTTGTAAAATTGAATTCACGCAATGGAGTGAGGTCCCGTCGCTCATCCCAGCTCCTGCCAACCTAGCAGTTCGAAAGCATGTAAAGATGTGAGTAGATAAACAGGTACCACCTAAGTGGGAAGGTAGTGGCGTTCCATATCTAGTCACGCTGGCCATGTGACCACAGAAACTGTCTTTGGACAAACACTGGCTCTACGGCTTGGAAACGGGGATGAGCACCGCGCCCTAGAGTTGGACATGACTGGACTAAATGTCAAGGGGAACCTTTACCTTTTACTATTCCAAATGAAAAAGTATACTTGAAATGACAAAGAATACAAGAGATGATGGATAGTGCCAACTAAGCACTTGTCAAAGGTGTCTCTGTTGGAAGCACTATGGAGCATAAGTTCCTGTTATTCTGAAATTCTGTTGTGCTTCATCACACATTAAAAATGAGGACTGCCTATCAAGAAAAATGAAGGAAAGACCAGCCAGACAACTCGGACTTTTTTTCTGAATGTTCTAAAGATGCTTTCAGAGTCAGCATCTTTGGATTCTGAAAGTCTGAATCCCTTAGTAGCAGGGTCTTTGTACCTCATCCTGTCCTGTTCTGTCCCAGAAGACCCCCCTATCCAGCCATATTTACAGAATTCAATGCCACTACTCCTTGTCACTAGAACATCCCATGTCGAATCAAGACTGCTCGAGAGGTTTAAAAAAATAATCTGAAGTCCTTACCTTAAAAAGTTAGGTGTGGTTCCTTAGTGTTAATGACTATTTTAAAGCACCTCTTTGTATCCAGCACTGTGTGCCCCTCTTTTGCAGGCTTGCTATGTTCGTGGCTTGAATTCGGTTCACGTTAGCCCATCAGCATGCAAGATGTGGTTGGACCAATGGCTAGCACTCTCCTGTTCACTGGAAGGTATGAACAGCCGAATTTGGGGAAATAGCTTGTGTTAGAACTGCCCTTCTAGTTCCCATGGCATCCCTGGCTTACCCCTCTAGCATGTCAGAAGTTGGATGCTACTAACTCCCTTCTACTCTTGATGCTGCTTGTTAGCATATCAGAACTGCAGCACCTGCTGCTTCAGTTGGCTTCCTCTCTTCACATATTCATAGCTGGACATGGAAGCACTGATTGATCTGGCCACAAAAACTTAAGTTCACAAAATGGGCTGCGCTAGACAGTGAACTTGGCTATTTGCCGTCAGTGGAAACTGCAGAAAACTGTTGAAAGCTTTGGTAGGAAAAGTATTCTGTAACTAAAAAAACACAAAGTGCCAAAATTCAAGGGATTCTGCTTTGTTGTTTATTTTATTTATAGGCTGGCTTTCTTTCGATAAGGGGACCCAAACAGCTCACGGTATTGAGGGGAAAAAAAATTAAAAACACACGTTAAACATTTTTTTTAAAAAAAAACTATATGCTAATTAAAGTACACTTGAATAATTAAAATCAATTAAAAACTATCTAAACTTTAAAAGGCATTCAGGGTCTCAGTCATGATTGTTAAAAGCAGGTATGAAAAGATTAGTCTTCAGCTGTCAGTGGAAGGATAAAAGGGAGGGGGCCACCTTTAGTACTCTTGAAATAATTTACTTGTTAAGAATATCCTTTTTAAAGCCCCCGTGCAGTGGAAGCAATACTGAACTGGTTATGTGCTGTATCCATGAGTGAGAGAAGGAAAGTAGGAAAAGCTTGCAAAAGCCAAGTAAACAGCCAACCTAACAAATCCCTGGGACATGATTGAGATGTATAAAATTATTCAGGGGATGGGTGAAGTGGATAGAGGGAAGCTCTTTTCCCTCTCATGTAATTCTAGAACCAGGGGACATCCACTCAAATTAAGTGCTGGGAGAGTAAGAAGAGACAAAATAAAATATTTCTTTATCCAGCGTGTTTTTAGTCTGTGGGACTCTTTGCCACAGGATGTGGTGATGGCATCTGGCCTAGATGCCTTTAAAGGAGGATTGGACAGATTTCTGGAGGAAACGTCCATTGCAGGTTACAAGCCATGATGGGGATGTATAATCTCCAGGTTTAAAAGGAAGGTAGCTCCAAACGCCAGCTGCAGGGGAGGGGTATCAGGAGACAGGTATCTGGTTGCCTCGTGTTATCCCAGAGGCATCTGGTGGGGCCACTGTGAGATACAGGAAGCTGAACTAGATGGGCCCTTGTTCCAGTAAATTTGTAATCTAAGTTTTGGTCTGGGGATTGGCAGAGAAAGAAGGAGGGCAAATAGAAACAATAGTAAATGAAGAATGAGGGCCAAGTTACAGCAGAGTGTGAGGATGCTTATCAAAATATAAACCCCACCTTTTCTGCACCATTAAGCAAAAACCCATCTGGTTAACGCTTTACAAAAAAAAAACTCACTAAAAGAATAATGGAAACAATCAAGATTAAACAGTTCAGAACACTGCAGAGTTACTGTTGAGGAGAAAGGAAGTTGTGGCCTAAAGACTCTTAAGACTGTTTTAGGAAAACAATGAAATGTCACGGGGGGCGGGGTGTCATGGAAGTGTCTTGCAACCAGAATGTAGTTGCCACAAAAAGACTTGCCTCACAAGCCTGCCAGTTGTCAGTAGTGTAGTGGGAACAAGGTCCTTGGTCCCCCGCACCTGAGCAGTAGGTCAGGGGTCCTGTTAAAGGCAACTGTCCGAATGCTTTATTGAGGACATGGGTTTTCAGGAGAAGCCACGTTGCCCCCTTCCTGTTGTTCTTAGAAAAGCCCTTCTGTAGTGTCCAAGTATATCACCCAGTGTTGCATCCATGCGTGTCTTATGTAAATACAGTGGAGATACTCTTCATCCTTTTCAGATTCCGAGGCGTCACTCTTAGCCCATGGCATGGTCTTACTGTCTACCAACTTTGCCCCTTCCTCCAAGAGCTGACGGATGCCAGGTAGCTTCCCTTGGACAACTACTGAAAAAAATGCTGCACCACTGCTCTTGGGTGAACCAGAATTGGAAATGGGATGTTTGCTTACGCTGGCAAAAGGACCGGAGTCTAGAAGACAAGGTTTCTCCAACAATTACTATCCTTGAAGGAAAAGATAAGAGGAACCAGTACATGAAAACTAAAAGTCTTCCTACTACACTGCAGACACACTAGAGAACTGCCAGAGTATCACTGAACAATAGCCCACAAGGTTTCTATTTAAGTCTGGCTCTGCAAGTACCTTGTAGGCCCCACAGCAAGAGAGGGCAGCTGAACGAGGTGCTGGCTACTGCCAGGGGGGAGTGACTTCTTCATACTACATTGAATCCCCGCCAGCCAGCAACACTTCAGGAGGTAACGAGTATTGAACAGTTAAGCTCTCTATGGCTTTTGCTGCAGTTATCTAATAGACCTTCCCTCTTAAGTGTTAAGGGATAATGTTACTTTCAAAAGGCTGGGGGAATAGTACTGTGACCCTTTTCTAGAAGAGCAGGAACCAATTGCTTCAGAGCAGCACCTCTGTATTTCAAATCTTGCTGGTGTTTGAAGCATGCTCTTGTTCTGAAAAGAAGCACCATCCCTTTCCAGGTGGCATCATGAAGTATGTTTGAAAAGGAGGCGCAGAATGGATGGGCATATTACTTGCCATATTTATACAGAGTGACTTGAGAGAATTTACACATCTCCACTATAAATTGACACAGGCATTTTTATTATACTTCAAAGTAGTGGTCGCTAGGGAGGTCTCAGGAGCCCTTCAACTAGGAGGGAGGGAAGTCTACACCAAAACCTGTTAACTGGCAAGGGAATACATTAAGGGAAACACACCCACCTTGGGTCATCTAGTGTTTGAATTCATTCTCAGGATGTAGGAAAATGACATGGAGTGAATGGTCAATGTCTAATTGAACTGTATAGAATATGTGAGTATTCCATTAAAGGTGGATAAAACACAAATATATACTTTTTTCGTGTCCTTCAAGAACCTGGACTTGATTCCTTTTGTGACTAAATTCTGATTACTGAGAGAGCACTTTAAAGAATTGGACTTTAGGATTTAACACTGACAAGTGTGTTGTTGGAATAATAAAATATACTGGGTTGTGTCCTTTCCCATTGCAGTGTAGCTAAAGCAGCAGTAAGGCCAATAAAACCATGCCCTACTTCATTTCTTGTGATAGGGAGTAGTAGCTGTTCACTGCAACAAACCAAGCCTACTTGTTCCCAGCTCTTGAGAAAAAAGTTTCACAATGGAGGATCTGCTTTGGCTAAAAAAATTACCTAAAGTAGGAAACCACCATGTGGCATGTCACTATAAAGGAAGGGCTTTCCTTGCTCCAGTATGGGAAGCCAGGACTTCCAAGTGCAGAAATGACTTTAGAAGGCAGGGTGGGGTTGATTTAATTCTTTAAAGAAATATCAGATTTTGATTATTTAAATCAAAAAAGTTATTTTTTAAAAAATTGGTTTTTATCCATCCTGGCAGGGCACAGGAGTGTCTCTTGATCTGTGGCCATGCTTAGACTGCAACAGACCTTGGAGTTGCTTGTTGTCTAAGGTTTTCTTTAATCGTGATGCAGAGTATGTGCCCTTGGGCAGAGGGTCTGAAATTATGGTTTATAAAATCTGGCCATTACAGGCCAATTTGCAATTATTTTAGCCAACTACGCAGCCATGAAAAGGAAGAGGGTGCTTTGGAGTTGTGCAGCATGATCTCTTCTGACTAGGATTGCTCATACCAGAAAGGTTATACATGCACTGAGCCAGTACATGGACAGAGTATCTTTGTGGCTAGACCACACAAAATGTAATGTTTAGTAAAGTACAGAAACTTGGTGTAAGTTCAAGCATTTCTTTATTTTTACACTTAAATATTCTCTTTAAATACAGCATTATCACCATGAAAAGAACAAAAAGGCAAAACAAAATGTAAAGGACCCGACAAGCTTTGGATTCACATTGAAAATGCCACCTGTATACCATGTAATGCAGGAGAGCAGGTTATAACATTATTGGAGTCAACAACTTACTGATGTAGAAGGCAGGGCTTGTACCAAGGTCGGGACTTAGTTAATAAGGAGTATCTTCCCATCAGGTAGTAAAAGGGTTGCTCCCATGTAAACAGTTCAGTAGCACCGAGGGTGGGTGGAAGGGTGAAGAGAGAGTGAGTTTTGTTATGCCAGTATTGGTAACACAGATCCAAAACAGCTTTTTTGTTGTTAAAAGCCAGGCAAGTGGAAGAAATGCATTTCACTGCATTAAAAGAACATTCAAACTTAGATGTCTCATGTCAACTAGAGGATATCAGTTTGAGATTCTGTAGTTCAGTTTCACATAAACTCCAAAGCCCTAATCAGGCATTCAGAAAACAATTAAACGAGTGAGCAAGGCCATGGGTTCCGTCTCTGCCTAATTTCTGTGGAGGAAGGTTTCTGTTACATGCAGTCACTCCCAACGACTGGATTCCTTGTGTGTAGCAGACTGCCTTTCATGCGGCAACCAGAAGAGGCAGGGAGAACAGACAGAGCCTTGATTATCTGCTCACTTTCACATTAACTCCCTTTTGAACCCTTGAATAGAGATCCAGGCTAACTTTTAGTTTTCCATACTGCTTAGGAGTGTTTTTAACAGCCAGTCTTACCTGTGAAAAGGCTGTTTTGTCTTCCAATCAAAGTTCAAGCACGGCTTTGCCTTTCCAAGGTCATAGGCATAAAAATCAGCCAGCAGGTCTTGCTGGTCTATGGAGATGATTATGGCATAGAGCCAATGTAGCAGTTAACAGCTCAGAAGCTACTAGAGCCCTGCTTGGTGCCCGCTGGGTAGAACAATACATACTACTAGAGGAGAACACAAGTATTTTTATTAGGTTTTGAGCAACCTATTGATGTCTTTTGCACCTTGGAACATTTGTCACATGACTGCCTCTACAGTTTCAAAAAACAATTATGATATTTTAATGTTTTCACCAGCATAAATTATTTGCCACCAAGCTCTCCCTCTGTATTGGGATGTTGGCAGCTGAAGAACTAAGCAAAAGAAGGTTGTTGCAGGTTTTTCAGGCTGTTTGGCCGTGTTCTGGAGGTTTTTCTTCCTAACTTTTGCCAGTCTCTGTGGCCGGCATCTCAGAGGACAGGAGTTAGAACTGTTTGTGTTCTGGTGTAGTGTGGCAGATAGTTTACTATTTGTAACTGTGGGATCAGCTTTTTGTCCTTTTCTTTTGCGTGGTGATCACCGGTCCTTGTGGCTAGCTAACAAAAAACTAGCTAACTACACCCGTCAATCAGTGACAGACCATCTCCCCCCTTATCACTACACCCATAACAAAAAAATCACCCTGATCGCCCAATCTCTTGAAAAGGACAAAAAGGTAATCGCACAGCTACAAATAAGTCTACTATCCCACATACTACAGCAGAACACAGAGTTCTAACTCCTGTCCTCTGAAGATGCTGGCCACAGGGACTAGCAAAACGTTAGGAAGAAAAACCTCCAGAACATAGCCAAACAGCCCAAAAAATCTACAACAACCATCGGATGCCAGCCGTGAGAGCCTTCGAGAATACAAAAGAAGGTTCTTACATTATCAGATCTCTCCATGTATGCACATTCTTCTTAGAGTGGATCATAGGCCAGTCTGCCAAAGAACACCATGGTATTAAAGGGAACAAAAACCAAGGAGGCATGGGCCACTCCAGGGCTCTCCACCATTACCACCGTGGCTGCCTATGGCTTTGAGGTGAATGCTGCAACAGTCAGCTGCAGGCACAGAGGCATTTCCAGGCAAAAAGGTGGGTACATTTTGTCATACAGCAGCGTGCCTCACCTACAATAGGAAGCTGCTAGCAAGGCAAATAGCAAAGTCTGCAGTGCCCTTTGTAGGGAGGCAAGCAAGCAACAGGGCATACATAAACCCTCCTGGGTCAGATTTTCTGAGACAGACATTTTGTCCTTGCTGCTTTTTAACTATGGCGCTTCCAGCTGCACCGTTGGCTTCAGAGAAGCACATTCCCACGCACATCATTCAAACCTTGTTTCTGAACTGAAGCAGAGTGAACGCATAGGCCACTGACAGGATCACATCAGAAAATGGCTGCCTTTAAGAATAAAGCCAGCTATTTTTTGTATAGCACCTTTTTAATTTTGTAAACAATTAGTACAGACATTGGGAAGGATTCCTATTAATGTCACCAGTGCGCCTCTTTAGCCCAACTTGACTGCAGCGGAAAAGAAGCATAAAAGACCAAGCTGTGGCAAAATAACTCCCAGCAATGAGACTGGGGTGGAGGTGGCAAGGAGAAACATCAAGAGGTGTGGCCCTTTGCTCTGCAAGGCAGTCACTGACATTGACAGACATTTTAAGGCTATCCTTAAATGCTTGGGAGCCTCTTTCCCCTTTTAAAGTCACTACACAAAGGCAAAACCTGCCTTCTGCACATACAAAGCACCATTTCTTCTCAAGTCATTTCTAAGCCATTTGCTGCAGCAGGAGTCAGTAAGATAGTAATTAAGAACTTCTCAAATTGGCAAGAAAGCACAGGAGGTTCTGGTGTGTCATACACGCCAAAGAACACAAGGAAAACTGGGAAAATAAAGCTAAAATTAACAAGTTGCTAACACACTGAAGTCTTTTTATAGATAAACATCTGTTTTGAAGCCCCATCTACACAGCAAGATGGGATTTCCATGGGCTTCAAGGCCATTTTAGGTCAGAGGCTACATTAGAGTCATACGGTTTCTCCCATTCTACTGTCATTTCAAAGCCATTTGCTTCTGCTCATTTAATCTCCCTAGAAATGCCCAAGTATCATTATGATAGAAACAGGAAGGAAGCATTGGGAACACAGCTTTGTTCTTCCTTTTACCAAGTATTTTTAGCATTGAAAAGAGCGAGCGAACTTGGGCTTCTCTGTCAAGCCTCCCTCCCTCCAACCCATCTCTCCCAAGGTGCCAGATACTCAAAAGAACCATTTCCTTGAAAGATCTGATAATCGACTCTGCCAGCCTGAACAGGAGAGGCTTTCAAAGATGACCTGCTTTCCGGATACTATGAATGTGTTAACTTCCTTCTTGAGACAAACGATGATGGAAAAACATTACCCACCTTTGGCTGCTTAAATTTCGCCTCCTTTCTAAATAAATATAAGTGCAGTAGCCTCTTCCTGCATAGGGAATTCCTAAGCTACATGAGGCAATTAAGTAGCCAGAAGGCTTGTGCAAGTCATGGAGGCCTCGAGCAGTCCGAAAAAAGAATTGGGGCAGACAGGGAAAATCTAAGTCAGTGTCATCTTCATGGGTTCCATCTTATTTAGAAGTCAGCACAGAGGGGTCACTGTGATAGCTTAGATGTGATCCAAGCCAAACCCTTCCGATTTACTACACAAAGGTTGGGGGATAGTGGAGAAAAGAAGGCTTGGGCCACTCCTTAGGGCACTCCACCATAGCGGAAAAAAGTGGAGGATAGTGGATAAAAAGTGCTTTTGTTATTCTACATAGGGTGGGAAGTAGTCATAAAGGGGGTGACTGGCAGCTCTAATGACTCCCATCTTCCCCCCCCCCTTTTATTCCAGGATTCTTGGAGCCATTCACTGCACACCTCTTAGGGATGGAGATCACAAATTGATGTGTAAAACCTGAGAGGCTTCATCACTACCATCCTATTGCACATTTGCTTGAACCCTTTGTGCTTGCTAGCTGCCAGGCTGCCATTCCATTGTTTATGCTTCTTCTCTTTGCCATCCAAATTCATTCAAAATTCTCTGTAGCAAGTAACAGAAAGCTCAAAAACTTACTTCAAAAACACTTGTATAACGAGAATGGAACATTCTGAAATAGCTGAAGTCAAGGGTGAAAATAATTTGTAAAATCATAGAGAAAAAGGATAAGAAGGCCTTTGTATATTTCCGTATTCCAAACAAAACTCTGGTTGTTTATAGAGAGATATACCCTTCCACCAGGAAGATCAACCCTACTGCACCCTGGTGCAATTAGTGTTCAAAAAACCGGACCCCAGAAGGAGTTAACATGACAAAGAGGCAGCAGATCCCAGAACAGATACTGGAGTATCAGCTATAGGTCACAAGATGCCCCAGTAAACATTCAGCACATAAAAATCAAAAACAAAACTGAGTACAATTAAAACTGATTGCTCTGGCCAGCCCCCTCATTAAGGGCTGGCAAGAAAGAGGATGAGCCTGTTTGGATGAAGCTACTGGGAAGCAGCAGGAGACTTGAGGATGAATGTAGGTCCATGGGACAGCTGCATGCCAAACTGTAGAAGTAACCGGTCGTAAGCAAAAGTTAACCCATACTGCATTTTAAAAAATATACAGGATTATTCCCCCAAGGGAAAGGAGGGCAGGAAATGTCACATAAATAAGAGTTTGTAGAGCCTAAGCTATGTTAACTGGCCGAAGTGGTTCAAACAGGCAAAGTCACCATCTCCCAGAAGACAGAGCAATGAAAATGACAGAATGGGATGGACGGCAGCAGCAGCTTCACCCCGACGGAGCGACTGGAGGGAGAAGGAGGGAGAGCTTCCATTGCTCAGAACGGTCCTGATGGCAAACAGTAGCAACAATGCCCTCTTCTGCCTCTGCAGGTTCGCTCTCTATTGCTTCTGTGAGACACATGCACACAATTTGGTCCTTGCCTCCTTCCAACGGTCCCTTGTCGGTGGTCCAGCCGCTTCTGCATCAAGAGGTCAACCCACTCTGCAGAGCAAACCTCTCCCTTTGAGCCGTAAGCGCTTCCTTTAATTCCTTTGATAGTAAGCCTATACAAAGCAGTCCCCCTTCTCTCCCCTCCCTCCCCACTTGCCCCATATTAAATAATTCCCACTGACTGTGACCATTCAACAAAATGGCTGTCAATAAATAGACATCATCATCATCATCAAGATTAAGAGCTGCGAAGGGTTAGGGTGTGTCACACGGTCAGAGCAGGGGGGCCCAGAGTGCATTCATCGGAAGAGGAAAGCTCGCAGGCTCTCTCTGGAGACTGCCCAAGGCTCTGGGGCCGCAAAATGTCTGGCGACGCGTTTGTGTGGAATGGCAGGCTTGGTGAGGGAGGACCTTCTGATTGGCGGCTTTCAGAAGGAAGAGGCTCCAGGGGCTGAACAGCATCCCCTGCTTCCGCCCTGCTGGAGGCTGCAGCTCGGCCGCAAGGCACCAGGGAAGTCACAGGGACCGAGTAGACGCTCAGCTCCTTCTCCTCCGTGTAACAAGAGGGTGCTTCTGATTCTTCGGTGCTACTCTCTCCCTTCACCCCCAGCACTGACCTTTGGTCAACCTGATAGTACACCACCGGCCCACTGTTCAAGTAGGGCTGGTCGCCCTCGCCTGAGCTCGCCTGCTCAGAGGGGTCCGTAAAGCATAGCACGGAGGAACCCGGAGGCAGCTGGGCTTGGATGAGGATGGGCGTAGCCATGCTGGGGCACATCCCCTCCGGGACTGCAAGGGGCTCTTCTAAAATGCACACGCCAAGGCTTTCCACACTGGAGCCGCTGCTCGAGTCTTCTTCCTCTGCCTTCAAGCGGTCCAGCTCCTCGGCTGTCTGAAGGTGCATGACGGCTGTCTCGTTCTCCGCCATGAACTCCTGGAAGTCCTGCGTCTCTGGGGACTGGGTTCCCAACCAGTCACTGCTGGAGCTGTGAGGGGTCTCTTCATCCACCGCCTGGGTCCGACTCACCTGCCGCTTGTTCTCCAGCTCAAGTTTCATAATGGTGTGCAGGTAGTGAGTCCGCACCCGTATGGGATTGAATTCAATGCGCCCTGCCATGTTCCCGCAACCGTCTCTGGAACAGCCACATGGGAAGGACATTCGGTCCACCTGAGCAGAGGAAGCAAGGGAGAGTGAGACAGTGCCTAGGGAGAGGCCACTGAGGAAATGACTGGCAAAGATGAAAGGTTAGCCAGGGAGGGAGAAGTGAATGGGCTATCAGAGGGAACAGGCCACATTCATGCAGACTGTTAATGACAAGCAGCAGGCAGCCGTCCTCACCAATCTGGACCCCAGAGTGCTTACGACTCACTCTTTCACCCTGATAACTTCCAGAGGAGCACAGAGCAGTCAATGCTCTGTAGGAAAGAAAAATGACTCTCTTTTTCGGTTGGGATGAAGCCAAAGACCAAATATTCACTTCTGTGACTAGGGCTTGAAACAGAAGCCCTTCCTGAAGGTAGAACATATGGAAAGCCCCATTATCAGAACTGCCTATTCATCATGCGAAAGAAAAAAGGAGAGGGAAAAGTCTCCCTTAAAAAAAAAAAAGGGACAAAGATGCAACAACTTTCAAACAGACAATCATTTCATGCAACATAAGCACAAAATTTGGTACTGGATGCAGCTATCAGAGAAGCTTAGCATTCCACAACAATAAAAGAGACATGTTTTTAGCTTCTACAGATATAAAGATAACAAGCGCATGGACAATGCCAGAACATTCAGGGTGTGGGAGGTGCTGGCATGGGGCAGGGTTCAAGAAAAGAGAGCCTGGTAAGATTTCCAAAGCCAGGGACTTGTGGATCTTGAATAGCTCTTTGCCTCTGCAGCAATGTTACAAAGAGTGCACTAGTTCAAAGCAAAATACACCCAAATACGACTAACGTTGCTGAAGCATTACAAAATTCAACTCAAAGGAGGCAAATTCGGTTTTTGTAACCTGCTCATTTCAGAGGACGGCCACTAGAGGGAAGTAGAAGGACAGCAGATCTCTGCAGGCATGACCTGTGACGCCAAGGGCGGTGCTCTGACCACGGCGGTCCGAAAGCCTCATACAAGAATCCTTTTCCCAACCTCCCTACTTACTGCAAGGGCTTGTTTGCCTTTCTGGCACTGACACATCAAGCCGAACCTAAACCTTGCCTTTCCTTTTAGGACCTCCCCCTCCGATAATGGGCCTCAATGCATACATTTCAATGTTGGGGAAGGGAGGAGGGTCAGGAGCTGGAAGGGCAGCACACGACAGACACCCCGATTTGTCCACTCTCCCTCCCGGCCCCACCTGCAGCCAGAGGAAGAGTTCAACGGACAAGACAGGGAACAGACACAGTCAACAGTGAGATATAGTTCGGGCCAAAGCCTAGGGGTTTTCCCACTGACCTGGCATTTAATGCCTGCCTGGCTACAGGCACAAGCCTCAGGATCACAGTACAGGCGGCAGTCACAGCCGCATTCCTCCCGCGACAGACGGATGGCGCGGAGTTCCTGCTTCTCCTCGGCATCGATGCGATGGACGCCGGAGGCCCGGAGGAGAGCCCGGCGCCTCTTGGTTGGCAGGGGCTGTAAAAAGAAGTAGTCGTCCACCTCCACATTCTCTACGTCAATGTCATCGTCGGAGACATCCTCCAAGGTCAGGCCATCCGCCTCCTCAGACTCCACAGTGCCGTTCTTCGTCAGCTTTGAGACGGAGGCGAGGGAAAAATAGAACACAGAAACACACACAGAGACATTCACACCAACAATGTTAATCCTCAAAACTCAAACTGCTTCCAGCTTTGCAGTCTGAAGGGGGGGGGGAGAGAAAGACAAGCCACTTCCTTCATGCTGAACTTGGCAGCAATAGCCAAGCCTTCCTCACTAGCAGTTAAGGGGTCTCCCCCATCTCCCCACACACAGTCGCAAGGAGAACACAGGTGATTGGCTACTGTTGTGTCTGTTCCAGTTATATCTGCTCTTTTGCAGCAGGGGAGCAGGAGTGGCCCCATGGTACAGAATGCAACATCCAGAGAAGAGCAGGCTTTGAAAAAACAAAATCTGGTCAAGGGTGGGCTTTCAAAGGAGGGCCTCTCCGAGAACTTAATTATGGGCGAGAGGAGCTTTGGTCTAAAAAGTGTAGCAGTGTTTTTGCTTCCAGCCTTTTGCTGAACTGTAACCTTCTTAGACATTTGTTTATTCATTTTGTGCATTTATATACCATTGACAGTGCAAACTATCACTCTATGCAGTTTACAGCAACTACACAATAAGCAGTGACCCAACCAGCCAACATTAAATGTCTCAAAGAAAACAAACAATAGATACAAACCCTCCATGACGACGACAACAGGAACGCATACAGAACAACTCAGGAGAAGATGCTTTTGAAACAGGACAATCTTTAGCATGCTCTGAAAAGTTCATCTTCATACTGAAACCATTTCCTTTACCTTAGCTTGTGACCAGGGGTGGGCAAGCTCAGGGGACTTGGGCCAAATTTGTGTAGAGACTCTGAAACAGTGTTTTTATACTTTTTCTTTTAAAAGGAGACAAGCCAAGCATTACCCTTCTCTGGAACCTTTATAACGCTTTGCTGTTGTCTCCATTCTCCCTGTCTTCTTATTTTCAGCCTGGCACACATCCTGACAGCCAACAGGAATGCCAACCCGAGGTGACTGCACAAACAAAGCAAAGGGGAAGCTATTTTATCTGACTAGCCACAGGAGGACAGAGGGACTGTTCCTCAGAGACATGATGCAACACTGCCTCATTTCAGAAGCGAGTGAAGTCAGAGCAACACTATCTGCATGCTAACTCTATTCTCAATCTCTCCTCATTCAACAGGGGGCAGTGGGAGCCAACCAGAGCCAGCCAGGGACAAGGGCTAGAACCGGAATTGGGAACACGCAAGAATCCCTGCTCAACACACAGGGCACGGGTTGACCTTAGCAAGCTGTTACACAGCACTGAGACTAAACCCGATGACCACTCGGTTGTTTTTTGAAAGGTGGCACACGGAACGAACAAAGGGACAATGTATATTACAAGCCACTCTACCAATTGTGGGGAAAGTGTCTCCACTAGCAGACAGGGCCTGTCCTCAAGGATGTGAAGGGGCATGAGGGACTGCCCTGAGTCCTCCACCAAAACACTCGCTATGTACTGCACAAGGCACAACATCTCCTCACTCTCCAGATTCAGAAACTAAAATCTGTAGGGGTTTGGACCCAGACTCCCGGGGAATTTTGATGTAAACATTAAATAACTAATAATATTTGCAGTGGGGGATAGTATGGAGATGGAGGTGACAGAAGCAGGAATACTTGTAACTTATGGGTTAAGAATTTGTTCTCTGCCCACTAGATTCCCTGCTTGACTCTTTCTCTGTGATGTGAAACAGGGGTGAACAACTTGCATCTTATCCAGATGTTGTGCAGAGAGAGACTACTGGTGCATTTCAGCTAGACAGCTGTTTTTACTGCATGATTTAAACAAACAAAGCTTTCCCTGCATACAATGTTAAAAGTGAAGCATTCTAGCCCACTCTCCACTCCATCTAATACTTTCCCCCCCACTCTGCTGCTTTAAAAAAAAGGGGTCAAGCATATAATCATGAGAGCCCCTTGAAGTAGTTGAGCCCGGAATAGGTTTGCCATCTCACACACACACACACACCCATTTTTTGGAGAAGCAGGCCACAGTAAAGGAATCAGCTGAAGGACTACAGAATGGGTATTTGTCTCTTTTGCTAAGCTGGTTGTCATGGCAGCAAGAGACTGATAGGAAATGCTAAGTTTTTAGACAGAAGCATTCAGTCGGGGAAGGGAAACCCAGTTGCTAGGCAACCCATGGGACACACAGGCCAGACAGCCAGGAGGCAAGATCAACGGAAGACTAGAACAAGGAGCCTCCTTCTAGTGGGGAGTCTGACCCAGAGCCTCCCAGTGCAATGCCCGAACCTTCTCATGCATCGGTTTGACAGAAGACAGAAGGTCTGGGGAACAAGCAGTTGAGGCCAGGTCACTAGAGGAGAGCTGGAGAGAGTCCCTGGCAGATCCTCTCCTTTCTGTTGCTACAGGGCTTGCATTATAAGGAAGTGATGGAGTCTTCTCTTTTGACCAGCAAGCTACAGGGAGCCTCTTTCCCACCAAGCAGCAGTGGGGAGTCCTTGGGAAGGCTCAGCTCATTCCTATCAAGAAACCATTCTTGAAGGTCACATGCTTTCATTTTTGCACTGGAAAATCTGCCTAGCTGTAGTCCTTATGTATGCAAAAGGCTAGTGAATTCCACTGAAAAGCAGGGAGAACATGGAATTTGGTTCGGAACACAAAACTAGCATAACCAGAAGCAACATTTAAATACACACAACCAAATATACACTTGTGGTACATCATGTTATCTGAATACAGATTATTATTAAGATGAGTACAAGTGATCTGGCTATGCACAGAAGGCCATCGACCAGTGGTTCTTAACCTTTGTTACTTAGGTGTTTTTGTACTGCAACTCCCAGAAGCCCCAGCCAGCAGAACTGATGGTGAAAGCTTCTGGGAGTTGCAGTCCAAAAACATCTGAGTAACCCAAGGTTAAGAACCAGTGATCTAGACCACCAGTTTCTAACCCTGGGTAAGCCAGGTGTTCTTGGACTGCAATTCCCAGAAACCCTGGCCAGCACAGCTGGTAGTGAAGGCTTCTGGGAACTGCAGTCCAAGAACACCTGGTTTACCCAAGGTTGGGAAACACTGCTCTAGATCTTACCCAGCAGCTCCCACAGCTGGGAGCACCTAGCAGGGGGACCCACTACTTCTGTAAGTGTTAGAGAAGGAAAACATTTACATGACATACACACAAATGTATTCCCCCAATAGCTACTGTGCCCAGTTAACGATGTTATGTCCCAAGTCAGGACCTGGAAACATTGCTGGTTAGGAGATCCTAGGATTTGTTGTCCAGAAAATGTAACATTGTCTAGCTCTGGCCACAGTTACAAACAAACCCTTCCTAGAATTCACTTCAGACAGAGAGAGGCAGGCTCTTCTACCTGCAAAACCCTACCTTCATTTTCTTGGCATGGAGCTTCTCTTCTTTCAAGTGCTCTCGAAGGATCTCACGGTGATTCACTTCTTGTTCTTGGGCAAACTCACCAAGGGTGTACCTGCGGACGGAGTTGTGGCGCTGTGCCATGCCCAAGGAGCTGCCCCCCTGGCTGGGCACACTGGTAAACCCCTGGCGCCGTGCAAAGTAGTACACCGTCACTTGGTCGAAGCGTACATTCTTCCTGCGCAATTGCTTCTGCCTCTTCAAGATGGAGGTTGCTGAGATACAAGAAACCAGAGCATACAAGGTGTAAAAGCAGGAGGGGGGAGGGAGCTCCCTCCAGGTTCATACATGTACCCAAAATGTGCAGTGGTCACAGAATGCATCCTCTAACACAGGTCCTTTTCCCCAAAACATTGCACACTAATATGCATCTTGTTTCATCCTCTAGCACTGCAAAAGATTCTAGGCAGGGACACTATCAACAAAGGGAATGACTAGGCCTACTAGGATTTGGCATAAATTTAGATGAATCAACAATGGTGCAATCTGTCATACATCCCACCTCTTTGGCTGTGTGTTGCAAGGAAATGACAATGCAGGTGGGCAGCCTGCCTTTCAAGGATTTTGAGAAATCCCTGATGAGCTTTTAGGCAACTGCTCGGTTGCCCCAAAACTCTGGACTGCCACACGAATGATTCTATTTAAATCTAAGGACACAGTTTCATCCCATTTTATAAGGAGGAGAACATTTTAAGCCACAAAATTTTTAAAAAGATCTTGCCATTTTTGGGCAGCTGCATTTTTAAAACCACCACTGAACAGAAATCTTAAGACTGAAAATTGGATTTTCCATTGTGGTATAGTGCAATGCAATCATCTGTAGCTCCCACTTGCCAATTCTTGCCCTCAGACTAATTCTTACATCACCTCTTTAACCTCCGTCCAGAATCTGCCTCTCTGGGGAAAACAAAAACCACCCAGGGTATCAAACACATACACACATGAAATTAAGATATCAATATCATCTGAGTAGCAGATGTGAGAGTTTTCCTCTCATTAGAAATTAATTCAGAACAGAGGAATCTTGTCTGAGGGATAAAACCCTAAGTCTTAAATTCTGGCACAGGCTACTGGACTGTGGAAACCAGTGATCCATTTCTTGGGAAATTTAATGCTTTATCAACGTACAAAAGAGCGGGAAGCCAATCAAGGTATTATAAAGTACCTGAGTCTACACTGAGTACCTTATAATAAGCAGCAACTCACAATTCATATGTATAAGTTCCTGAATGGGAGAAGCAGACATTACTCTGGATACATATTTTCTTATTATCAAATCATAAAAGACGACTTTACATACAGTCCTAGGTGCTAATAAAACCATAAACATTACAATACCCAAACAGTTTAGCTAAAAGCTACAGGGTTTTTTTTTATGTGAACAATGTAACCAAAGGTTGTAGCAAAAACAACAAGAGTGTTATGGCACTTTAAAAACTAACACATTTAAAGACTCTGCATTTACTTTTATGAACTAGTCCATTCATTCAAATGCTTCTGAAGAATGCATAGATGCAGTCCATAGATGTTTGTGGATAATCAAATCGGTTAGTCTTTAAGGTGCCATCCATAGTTTTTGTTGTTTTAGCTGTGGTAAACTATGAAGATGGCTAGTCCTCTGGAAATACCCGTGATTCAGCAGCAGCTGTGTCACAGACATAGCCTACAGTGACATTATGAGGAATGGAGCTTCTGAAAAGCTTTTCACAGCTGCCAATGTCTCAAGAAACAGTTATTGACAACTCCAGACCCATCTCTACTCTTTCACCTTAGGATGCTTCTCAAGTTCTTATATAGTAGTTGGATCTGATTCAACATTGCAGTACAGATGATGAGGAAAGGTTTTGATGACTAGGTGCTGTGATAGCACAGGGGAAATCTTCAGTGAATATGGCCAGTGTTAAAAAACGGACTCCAGACAATGGGTGTCACATGTTCTAAAGCCCTTGTAGCCTAATTACTTACGTATAAAGCCAGTAGAGCTGGGAGGATTGACACTGTCACAGCTGTCTGCACTGTCACTATTGGAGATCTCATCGTCAGAATTGGAGACGGGCGAGCCCACATCCACGTCATCAAACTTCCTCTTGAGGGTGGCATTTGCGATTGCATCCATTTGTCTCTGGCTCGCATGGAGAGCCAAAGCATAGAAAGGAGACTAGTGTCAATGGAAGATCTCCAACCCTGGGCCTAGTGTTGGGATTCCCAGGTACCTGGAAATCAAGAAGAAGAGGGAAGGCAAATGGTCAGCAATTTAATTGCACTGAACAGCTGAGAAAACACCAGCTTCCACAAGTGCTGGAAGAAAAAATTACACTGATACCATATAACCCTCTGGCTCTGCTTCAAGGATGTTCCCCCTTCGCATCCCCGTGCTGAACTGAATAACTTCTAGCATCAAACAAGTTGTGTCCTACTAAATCACAAGTATCTCTCAGAGAACATCCAGCCACCTGTGCTGCTTTAAGTCTCCTGCCCAAAGTCTCCTGTTGACCCTGGCCACTTAGGGGGCAGGCAACATGCTGGGAGCAGTATCTGCCTAGTTCTGTATCATGAGACTGCACTGCTCCTGCACACAGCCCTCTTAAGCAGACTAGTAAGGAAGAGGTCTTAGGATAAGAATACACAAAAGCAGAACCTGTGAGTGTCATGCAGGCTCAAAGCTGTTCTGGAGGATGCTGAACCAATTGGGTCCCGTCCCTCCTGGTTAAGCTTCCCCTGGAAGAAAATTGCCACTTCCAGAGAAGCCAAGGGTGGTGATTCACCTCTTAAACAATCTGCACCCTACTGTAATGTACTAAAATGCTTTAAAAAAATTAAGCAATCTTGATTGTGGATATGTTGCTGCCATGCCCATGTCATGAACTTCCTACTACCGTTGCATTACTGCAACCCAAGAATACACAGTTTTGCATGCAGTTATGCCCACCAATGTGGGGCAAAGGATAACATCATAAGAGACAAAAGCCTTTCAAGCATAGTAGGTTCATATCCAAAATGGTCAGGTTTTCCTCTATGACCAAAACAATGTTGTCCAGACCTGTACTGCTTTCATAAGCTCTACAGAGCACTCAGAGGGGCTCAAGTCCAGCCCATCGTGTCCTTAAAAAGAGAAGACATTTTATTTCCTTCTGAAGGAATAGAGGGAAAGTTTGTGAAGTTTAAGACTCTGCCTGTACAATTCCTTGACTAAAAATAGCTTAAAAGCAGTGTGTTGCAGAGCAATGAAATGTTATTTCTGTTGTTCATTTTTGCTTACTTTTACACACATGCTCAAATTCAGGGTGGATTTGATTTAAATCACAATTTAAATCAGCATTTTAATTAAAAAATACGATTTTAATTTTAAAAATCTGATTTAAATTTAAAAAATCAGATTTTTATCTCTTCATTTAAATTGATTTTTAAAAAATAAAACGTTCTATGATTTTAATCAAATCCACCCTGATGCACATACACCCACAAGCAAACATGAACAAACAAACTCTCATGGAATCGCTATGCTTTCTATGCTGGACTGCAGCAACTGCAAGGGGTTTTGGAAGATGTCAGTTGCTTTCCTATTCTCAACCACACTTTCTTAGTCAGACACGTGTGGTATGCATTCAGCTGACTCCAAGAGGTTAAATCGGCTCTTGCCTTTTGTGCACTGAGCAGACACCAATGGCGGGGGTGGGGGTGGGGAAGGGAGGAGAGTTTAGCATGCGCCTGCATTCCTAGAGAAGACAGACAGAAATCGTGAACAAACCAGACTTGACTTTAGCACAACAGAAGCCAGTAGGGCAATGACAATCGTTTTCCCATACTGTACAATGCACTGAGGAATACTGGTTTGTGCCAACTAAAGGATGGCTGCTCAACTATTACACAATACAGTATGAATGTCTCTACACTAACATCTTTTACGGATCATCAGTAAAGATCTATAAATGTACGGCCTTGGGTCAGATGATCCATTTTGGCATTGTCTGGTATCTGTCTCCAATCACAGCCAGCAACAGATGTTTCAGAGAAAGGTGCAACAGAAGCCCAGCATTAGTTAGAAGCAGGATAATCCTGCCCCGCGTGGCAGTCAGATCCTAATCTCCCCTAGTGAGAGACTAGGCTAAACCTTTTGGGAGAAATAGTGGGACTTGAGCTGTAAGGTTTAAATGGACACAACAGACCCGATGACCTAGTTTGGCAAGCCTTGGCCCTCCAATTCAATGAAAGAAGACTTAATTCAGTTGTGACACTAAATTTTAATCTTTGTTTTCCTACACTACTCTAGAAAGGGTAGAAGGCCAATGGTAACAAAATAGCCAGGGCACTTGCTAATCTTACAGCAAAAGCAGGATCACAAAGCAGAGCTGGATGAGACAGAATACTGTATAGTGAAGAATGTGGCCATCTCACATACTGTTGCCAGAAGGGTCTGAAAAGTGTTGCCTCATCCCCCCACCCCAGAAAGAGAAACGGGGACACCAGAGGTTAGGACAAGAGCTCTGACTGGTGTCAAAATACAATTGCTGCCTTTATGGCCCGAAAGAACACACACACATCATGTATGGAAAAATCACAACCCAGTCATACTTCTCTCTACCACTTATGCTCTGGTCACATCATAAAATCATTGAGTTGGAAGGGGCCTTTAAGGTCACTGAGTCCAACCCTCTGCTCAAGGCAGGAATCCAAATCAACACAGATCTGACAGATGGTTGCCTCATTTTCTCTTTAATGCCTTCAGTGCTGGAGCACTCACCACCTCCCAAGGTAACTGGTTCCTTTCTCGGTACTGCTTTAACAGTAAAGAAGGTATTCTTGATATTCATCCTAAATCTGGTTTCCTGTAGCTTGAGCCATTATTATGTATCCTGCACTCTGGGATGATCGAGAACAGATCCCTCTCCTCCTCTGTATGACTCCCTTTCAAGTATTTGAAAAAGTGCTATCAGACCTCTCTGTTGTCTCCTTTTCTCAAGGCTAAACATGCCCAGTTCTTTCAATCTTTCCTCACAGGGCTTGGTTTCCAGGCCCTAATAATTTTAGTTGCCCTCCTCTGAACTTGCTCCAGTCTGTGTCCAGTGTGGTGCCCAGAACTGGACACAGCACTTCAGATGATGCCTAACCAGTGCTCTAGATGAGACCTGACCACTGCTGAACAGAGGGGGACTAGTACCTCATGGAATGTGGAGACTATACTTTTGTTAATGTATCTTAAAGTAGAATCGGACTTTTTTGTAGCCACACTGCACTGTTGGCTCATATTCAACTTGTGATCTATAACAATTCAAAGATCCTTGTCACTCATAGTATTACTGAGTCAAAAAATCCCCATCTTGCAACTGTGCATTTGGTTTCCCCCTCCACTAGGTGTAGAACTTTTCATTTATCCCTCTTAAATTTCATTTTGTTGTTTTCAGCCCAGTGCTCAAGCCTATCAAGATCTTTGAATTTTTTTTTATCACATTAAATACGTTGCTGGGGTGCCTCTAATCTCCAAAAGCTTCTCAAAACCCAAATGAATATACAGGCACACCTATTCTGACTTTGCGGAGGGGGGGTGGAATGAAAACTTTTAAAAATATCTCCAGGCCTGGTGTGGGCTCTCAATGGTGGTGCTACCAAAAATCACTCAGTGTTGCTCCGAAGTCGCCAAACAGATCCCTTGGAGGAATTCCACCCACATCATCCACTGTGAGAACTTTCCCTTTATTCATAAGCTCTACTTTCTGATGTTTAATCAGCAGCCAGTTCATAAGGAACAGCTCACCTGTTATCCCATGATTGCAAAATCAACCTAGGAGAGTCTTCAATAAAGAACATGGGCAGAGGAATTTTGAACATTTTGCCCCCCCCCGCATTATCCACTGCTCCTCTTTAGCACTTTAAAAACCCCTCACTGAATGGAACAGCAAACGAGCATCCAGAATGCTCTCTGATGACCATGAACCACGAGGACTAGAAATATACATTTATGAACAAGCTTGAGATTCTCAGCATTCTAATAAAAAATCCAAAACTGCACACAGAAGACACAGATCTCAAGTATGTTTTGGGAGATGCAATTATCCAACTTAATGTGCAGTGGACCCATACCTGTGCCAACTGCCAAGTCTGCATAAGAGAAGCAGAAACTTGTATGCAGTCCCTCCCCCAGATACCAGTGTGACATCCCAATAGCCTTAACCCTGTTAAAAGATTCATTTTGGTTTTTTGGATGAAGAAGAGCCTTCGGGGTCTCTGGAGACACAAGACGATTTTGCCATATTTTACCCCCTGTCATTCTGAATTAGGCTCAATGGGTCTTAATTCAAAACAGAAGGTGATTTCCAGTTATCGTTTCAACAAACAGCAATGACCTTTCTTGCTGGATGTAAAGCTCTCGCCAACATTTGGAAACAACTGGAAGTTGAGTCATGACAACTGGATTTCTTTCTTGTTAGTTTGAAATGTTTCGCTACTCATCCAAGCCAACTTCCAGAAACCATATCTGGATGACTAAAAATCTTCACAGATATTTAGAAACAACATTTTCTAGTACCCATCTCCACTATATATTCAATGAGAGGCACAATATTCATCTGTTTTTAGGTGACTCTTCCACCCTTCCTCAGTGACTTCATTATGTATTTCAAGTGTTTGAGGCATGTATTTACAGAGTCTGTGATTTCATCCTCTTTTTAAATTGAGAGATCGAACAGAGACACAAGCTTCCATGAAAAGAGGCTCTTTCTAGACTGAAATGGTAGCTTTAATCTCTGCCTCCTCCATCCCATCTCTTGTATCCTGAATGGCGAGGTTATTGAAACAAAGAGAAGTGGATGCAACAAGCTCTGTGCCTTGCCACCCTCTCTATCCATCCCATGAGCCAGTTTGCTCTACAACGAAAGAGCAGGCAGGCTGGCCTCAAAACATCTCTCTGCTTAAAGGTCCACACGGAGCTACTATGGCGTGAAGTCATGCAGAAACAAATGTTATTATTGGGAGAGTGGGGGAGGCAGTGTGGGCTGAGAGTCCAGATTTAGTAACAGGAGCTATTTCTTCAAATATGCAGGACTGCCATTCATCTCCCTGTGGCCTAGCTTTTACTGGAAAATGCACCTCCATACAGAATGGCACAGTAGGCAAGACAAAATGCAAGGAGACCCATTAGGGTTGGGGATCAGACGGCCTTTCATCGTGGAGGGCACCTGGGTTATATTACAGAGCAGAGGGCAGGGTGGGTAGGCCA